TAGCGATCTGAAACTTTCACACTCGTCCTAAAACATGTGTACGCAGATCAAGTTCTAAAATCGCCCCGATCGGACGTCTATATCCTATAGCTCCCATAGGAACAATTGGATATATCTTTCAAGAATTGATGATATTTCACGCAGTGTAAAAGCTATTGACATGAATCTTTCCAAATCGTATTTTTTTATGTATACCTTGATCAGGGTAAAAGCGCGTGGCGAATGGACGTCTATATCCGATAGCTCCCATAGGAACAATAGGGTAAAATCGGTCCAAATTTGATGTTTTTCAGAGTATGCATAAAGCATACATTGATCAAGGTAAAAGCGCGTGCCGATCGGACGTCTATATCCTATAGCTCTCATAGGAACAATAGAGTGAAATCGGTCCAAATTTGATGATTATCAGAATATTTCGCGCAGTGTGTAAGCTACTAAAAGAATTTTTTTAATTCTTATTTATTTACGCATATCTTGATTAGGGTAAAAGCGCTTGCCGCTCGGAAGTCTATATCTTAAAGAAGATAGGAAAAATTGTTAAGGGCTGCGAAAGTATCCCTTTTTTTCTATTTGTATATGACATTTTTGCAGTATAACAGCAATTGACTTGAAACGATGCAAATCTAGTTTACTTATGTATACCTTATTCCTTTCGCTACTTTTTCACTTTTACCAATTTCGGCAAAGTCTGCAAGGGTATTACAACTTCGGCTTGCCGAAGTTAGCTTCCGTCCTCGTTATTTTTACGGTTTTTACAGTTGACCCGTTCGCCCTTAAGTAATTTAAAAATAATTACTGTTGAAACGAAAAAAGATGAAAATTTTTATGAAAAAGAAGAAAAAAACATGAGAGAACTCTATAGTCGAGTGCCTCGTTACTCCCGTACCCGTTACTCCGCCATGAAAGGCGGAAATCTAGGCGCTAGCCTGGTTTCAGCGTTTAATGGGTTTTTGGGCGTTAGAGTGGGCGTGGCAAACTTTTATTAGGCCAATCGATAGGTATTGACGAAATAAATACTTATCAATTAAAATTTTCAAAATAGCATCCGAACTGTGGCTTGCGCTGCGTAGGAACTCCTAAAATCTACATGCAAAATGCCAATCTTCTAGCTTTTATAGTTTCCGAGATCTCAACGTTCATACGGACGGACAGACAGACGGACATGGCTAGATCGACTCGGCTAGTGATCCTGAACAAGAATATATATACTTTATAGGGTCGGAAACGCTTCCTTCTACCTGTTACATACTTTTGCACGAATACAATATACCCTTTTACTCTACGAGTAACGGGTATAAAAATACGAAAAGTTAAAATTCAAGGAAATCATCACCGCGCGCTGCTCTAACTCAGTGACTGGGTGTGGAACCGAAGTTTCTGGCCATTGAAGTTTGGGCAGCTGTAACCATTGGGGCCCATGCCACCAGAGGGTGCTATCGCCCAACTCTTGCAGGGACACGCCGCGACTAGCTAGGTCGGCAAAATTGTGTTCTGATCGCACATGTGACCAATTTTCAATCTTTGTAACTTGAGCTATTTTGGTTACGCGGTTGGCTACGAAAGTGGTCTAGGAGCAGGCTGGTTTTTTTAAAAAAATCTCAGAGCTGTCTGACAACATATTTGGAAGGATGGTGGATGCCATATCTGCCAGCAATAGGGCACCACATAGCTCGAGTCGGGGGAGGGATACGGTTTTCACAGGGGCCACCCGGGTCTTTGCCGTAAGCAGATTAGTCAATATCTGCTGACCGACTTCAACCCTGACATACAGCGCAGCCCCATAGGCCTTTTGGGAAACGTCACAGAAACCGTGAAGCTCGATTTTTACCTGGGGCTGGTAACCGACCCATCTCGGAATACGGATTTGATCGAGATCGGAATAACTTTGCAGGAACATTTGCCATCTATGGCTCATTTCGGCGGGAAGGTTGTCATCCCAGCCTAACTCTTGAAGCCAGATCTCCTGCATAAACATTTTGGGCCGGACGATGAACGGGGCAAGCCATCCAGCGGGATCGAATAGCTTTCCGATCTGGGAGAGAACTTCTCTTTTTGTATAGGAGGATTTGACGGATATTTCTGGGGGCACGAAGTAGAACTCGACGGTGGTTGCTCTCCAGCGAACGCCGAGAGTTTTGGCTGTGCTTTCGGCATCAATATTCAGGAACTCAGCATGGAGAAGATGCTCATTTGGAATGTCCTTTAAAACCCCCTTGTGGTTGGAAGTCCACTTTCTAAGCGGAAAACCGGCAGAATTCAAAGCGGTTACTAACTCCTGGATGATAAGTTGAGCTTCTTGTTGAGAATTCGATCCTGCTAAAACGTTATCAACATACATGAAGTTGCGGATTATGTGACTGGCTTTCGGAAACTGCTGATCTACGTCATCAGCCAGCTGTTGCAGCACTCGGATTGCGAGATAGGGCGCGCAATTGACATCCTTGTTTCGGTATAGAATCCTTTGAAAGGTCGTGTGCTTTGGATCGACCCAGATCTGCCTATACATTTTAGTGATGTCCGCACTAAAGACGTACTTGAAATAGCGCCACTTTAAAATCTGAATCGTTAAGTCAGATTAAAGGACTGGACCGGCATGAAGCACATCGTTCAAGCTAGTCCCATTTGCTGAAGGGCTGGAAGCGTTCAATACCACCCGCAGTTTCGTGGTGGTGCTTTCGGGTTTTATTACCGCATGATGTGGGAGGTAGTAGTTTGGAGAATTGTGAGTGGGCGAAACCTCTCTCATATGGCCTAAATCCAAATATTCTAGGATCACGGAGTTGTACTGCTCATTTAATGGAGTGTCTCTTCGTAAACGATTTTCGTTTCTCCGAAACTGAGCAAGTGCTATAGACCTTGAGTATCCCAACTCAGATCCACAATGATCGGGGTCGCAGAACGGTAACGTCACTACGTACTTCCCGCTCGCGTCTCTAGTTGTGGTTCGTAGAAAATTACTTTCGCAGACGGAATCGGACTCTTTTACCATTTTTTATGGTAGATTTTCCACCTCCCAAAACTTAGTAAGAAGTTTATCTAAGGACGCCTCAGTTGGCTTCGTAACCTGAGTCGTAAAGGCTGAGACTCGGTTGCTTGTGGACATGAACACTGGACCAGTGAGCACCCACCCGAAAATGGTCTCTTGCCCAAAAAGAGATCCGCAGATGTTGGTCTTTGTGCCGCTCAGCAGCACGGATGGAAGGATATCAACTCCGATAAGAACGTCTATCTGGGAACTCTGGAGAAATGTGGAATCTGCCCATTGAAGGTTTGGCAAATCTCTCAGGACATCTTGTCGAATGGAATGTGAGGGTAATCTGCCTGCTAATTCTGGCAGAACATACGCTGTGGTGTCTAACTGCAGGCCCGGCTTGGTAGGAGACCGAATGGAGAAATGGCAAAGCCGTGTTGACTGGGCAGAAACTGTCTGATTTAAACCAGACACTTGAAGTTGAAAAGACGCTCCGTAATAAACGTCGCCTCCGATCCGAGTCGATCAGAGCGCGTGCTCGGAAGTGGGAACCGAGGTGGCAGATATCAATCATTGCCGTGCCCAAAAGAACTGCTTTTGAGCCTGAGGCAAAACAGACTTGTACATTTGAATGTTCATCTGGAATGTGTGAGCCTCCCGCCGGAGGATAGGCTCTAGGTCTCGCATTCCCAAAGGGACTTGGATTGTTGGAAAAAGGGGTGCCTCGATGCAAAAGCGGGTGATGTCTCCCTCGGCACACGAAACAGCTGTGCGTACTGGAACAATCCCGGAGCTGATGGCCTCTCGCGAAGCAATTCAAACATAACTGCTTCTTTTTTATGTAATTTTCCCGCGCCTCGATTGCCATCTGAATGAAGCGAGGGCACAACCGCACTGGGTGACTCTCTTTAGAGCACAAATCGCAGCTCTTTGGTTTGACACTCACTTTGGCTTCAAAGTAGTGAAGCTTTTTCGTGACCTGGGGATTTTTTGAAGTTGACGGACCACCAAGACTCTGCTTCATATCCTCAATGGCTTCTAAGGTTCTATACCTATCTCTAAGGAACGCGTTCATCTCATCCCATGTAGGAATATCGGACTTTGAGGTAAGGGATTGTTCCCACAAGGACAGGGTCAACCTGGACAACTTACTGGCGCACAGGTATACCAGCAAGCAATCCCAATTTTCCGTTGATATTTTGGAATGGGCTAATGCTGTCAGGCACCCTTGGATGGTGCTCTGAAGCTCTTTTATGGAGTGGCTAGTTTCGGAATTAACGGAACTCAAGTTAAATAGGAGCTTGAGCTGGCTGTTCACTAAAAGCCGTTTGTTTTCGAAACGGTCTCGAAGCGCCTCCCAAGCGGAAGCGAAACCATCATTAGTGAGCGGGGACTGGGCAACAATTGCCTTTGCCTCACTGCTCGTCTTCGCGTTGAGATGGAATAACTTCTCGACCGGCGTCAACCGTGTGTTGTTGACGTAGACGGCAGTGAAAAGGTCTCTGAACGTTGGCCATTTGAGATAGTCTCCCTCGAATACCTCTGTATCACATGGAGGCAACCGGCACCCGGACGGAATGTACGCGGACTGATTGTCGGTGCTCGACATCGGTTGCTGTGAACTGGCTCGGTCAATTAGCTCGCTGAGCTGAACCGCCAGCTCTTCGTACACCGAATAGCAGTATTCGTATTTGCGGTGCAGAGTTGCCGAAATCTCCTCCGCCCCTTCAGTCGTAATACTGGAGATCGTGTCTAAACACGCTTCGAATTCTTTTTCGGCTTTGTCCCATAGCGAGCGGACTTGCTCCTTACGGATTTTGCAGGTGTGGCCAGCCGGAGGTGACGGCCCTGAGTTTCAATCGTCCCTCTGAAATGGCTCATACGGTCGGACACCATGATAAACCGCGCGAGGGCTGCAATTGCAATTTCGTTGCTCATTTTTGCCTGAGAACGAGTTGCTCTGCAACAAGATTTCTATGTCGATGATTTCATCTCCGGTGGAAGCTCTGTTGCTGAGGCTATTGAGAAAATGCGACAGACCACTGAGATACTTGCTCGAGGTGACTTCAAGTTACGAAAGTGGTGCACCAGCCACCACGAGGTCTTAAAGGATGTGTCAGATGATGACAAGGAGAAGTATTTGAAGTTCGACGATGGCAGCGATATAACCAAAACTCTTGGTCTTGCATGGGATCCGGCAACAGACGAGCTGCTGTTCTCTTTATCGTCTCTAGATCCCGGCTCCAAGGCCTGCCGACGATCTGTTCTGGCCACCGTTGCTCGTTTCTATGACCCGCTAGGCCTTCTTGGTCCAGTAATCACAAAGGCCAAGGTGTTTCTTCAACAACTCTGCAAGGACAAATTGGATTGGGATGAAAGTTTGCCCTTAGATCGTAACACCTGCTGGATTGAAATGTGCATCAGTTTTCAGAGCGTTCAACGCATATCATTCCCAAGATTTTTGCTTCTTTCAGAAACTGATGTTGAAATTCATGGTTTCTGCGATGCCAGCGAGGAAGCTTACGGAGCTTGCATATATGTGCTGTCTAGGGGCACTTCTCCAGCCAGCAGCCATCTCTTATGTTCCAAATCCCGAGTAGCGCCTCTCAAAACGATATCTGTACCTAAGCTGGAGTTATGTGGCGCCCTGCTACTAGCCAAGCTGATGAATGAAGTTATGAAAATGGATATGTTCAATGGTCCTTTTCACTGCTGGTGTGATTCCTCTGTGGCGCTATCCTGGATCGGTAATGAGCCTTTCAAATTCAACGTCTTCGTGGCAAACCGAGTGGCTTCTATACAGGAATTGACTACTAATATGGAATGGCATCATATTCCGACTACACTGAATCCTGCCGACATTTTGTCCAGGGGGTCTACTCCGGATTTACTGGCGCTTTCTGAGATCTGGTTTCATGGCCCACCATTTTTACTTGGTGGTCGCAAGGATTGGCCTACGCGTCTGCATTATGGCGATCCGAGCCTTGAGTTACGTAAACAGGTGCTGATGGTCAAGTCACCTCACGTTGATGTCACCCTTAGATCCAAGTATGGCAACTCGTTCCCTTCCATGCAGCGCGTGTTCGCATACATTTACAAATTTTCTCACCGCTTGTGGCATCGTGGTCTCGAAATATCTGATGTGCAACGTGGGACATATATGCTCTGGCGAGGCGTCCAATTGGCTCATTTATGGGAGGACATAAAGGAGCTTCGTTCAAATAGCATTGTTAAAAAATCAAGTTCTATTGCTTCGCTCTTGCCCTTCATAGATGCATGTGGCCTTCTTCGAGTTGGTGGACGCCTCGAAAATTCAACACTTGCGTATGAGGCTCGCCATCCCATAATAGTGCCACGTCGTCACCCACTCACCTTAGCGCTCATCATGCACTTCCATAAGATGAACCTGCATGCAGGACCGCGCGCTCTGTTGGCAAGCATCCGACTACAATACTGGCCTATTGGAGGACTGCGAACGGTCTCAAATGTACTGAAAGGCTGTGTGGAGTGCTTCCGGGCCAGGCCCAAATTTCTGGAACCAATCATGGCTAATCTTCCGAAGGAACGTTTGGAGTGCGTACGGGCCTTTGCTGTTTCTGGCGTCGACTATTGTGGACCTTTCCTTTACAAATCAGAAGTTCGCACCAGGTCTCCCATCAAGTGCTACGTATGCGTGTTCATCTGCTTTACAAGCAAGGCTGTGCACTTAGAGCTTGTCAAGGATCTAACAACTGCGTCGTTTTTAAGTGCTTTGAAGAGATTCATTTCTACACGTGGAAAGCCTAGTCAAATTTGGTCGGACAATGCTACCAACTTTGTAGGAGCAAAAAATGAGTTGGCGGATTTGAAGCGGCTGCTGCTTAGCGATTCTCATATGCAGTCTGTTCATCAAGCTTGCTTGGCTGAGGGAATCGACTGGCAATTTATTCCGCCTCGCTCACCACACTTTGGCGGATTGTGGGAGGCAGCAGTCAAGACGGCCAAACACCATTTCTACCGCTCTGTTGGCCGCCAAACGCTTAGTTTTGATGAGCTTCGCACTTTGGTTTGTCAGATTGCGTCAATCATTAATTCTCGCCCCTTGCTATCCGTTTCAGAGAATCCAGATGATCTTGATGTTTTGACTCCTGCCCACCTACTTTTTGGTGGCCCTTCCACTACTATCATTGAGCCCGATCTAACCAAGCTTAACTATAACCGCTTGGATGGTTGGCAGCGTGTAACATATCTGCAGCAACTATTCTGGTCCCGATGGCAGAAGGAGTATCTTACCCTTCTGCAACAACGCACCAAATGGCGGTCTCCTGAACGAATGCTGAAGGTCAACGACGTAGTTTTGATAAAGGATGAAAATCTACCTCCCCATGCGGTGGCCCTAGCTAGCGAGGGTGACCGCACTTATTCCTGGACGAGATGGTGTTTGCCGAGTTGCTGATCTGAAAACGTCCACGTGTGACATCAGGAGAGCTGTTAAGTAAATAATGTGCCTGTGCCTGTCCACCAATGATGAAGTTGAAAGACAGGCTTCCAACGGGGGGAGTATGTTGAGCGCAAAGCCCAGCCAACTCAAATAAATAGAGAGTCAGAATCACTCATTTCTAAGCGGCTCCTCTTATCTCTCTATAATTGGACTAGTCAGTCTGAGGCCCGCCTCCCTCAACGCCTACGGTCCGTCGCCAGCGCATAAATTTGTTGTTGTTGATAAGCAAGCTTCGGTGTTCGCAAAGCCCGTAGCCCTTGCATACATTCATAAAGTTAATAAACTGAAATATTGAATTTATCTCGCCTTGTGATTTGTTTTAAAAATAGCTGACAAAAAGGCTTGTTAGCTCAACATTTGGAGGCCCCGGCGAGATTCGTAAATTCAAGTCTGTGGAAATTCGTTTGTGCAAAAGAAACAGTGCACAAAGAAGACAAAAAACAACTGTTACATTAGGCTGGTTCCGCTTTAAGCTGGTCCTAATAAATTTTCTGCCTCGCCAACTGGTGACTGTACTTTCTTGCCGTTACAAAAACAAAGACTTCTGACAATTGTAACTGTAAACTCCCGAGTTGTGCAGTGCGTTTCGGTTTGCTTTATACAAATACATACGCACAGATGAGTTCAGACGAAGGCAGCACAGTGGCGGACCATAATATTATGACGGCTGAAACTAAAGTGCGGTTCTTGAAGTGCAAAGCCGAATCGGTGTACAATAGCTTAAAGCGCATGGATATTTCGCTAGCTAAAGACGCGATTTGCCTGTTTGGGTCCGCGGAGTTGACAGTTCGGCTAGAACTTCTTGAGCATACTCAAGCCTCATTCAGGCTTGCCCACAATGCGCTGGAGGAGCTAGACTATTCGGAAATCGGCAGTGAGCTTAGCGACAATTTTGAAATGCTCATGGTATCGGTCAAGTCACGGCTAAGACAGCAACTTGACAACTGTCAGCTTCGAATGCCAACATCTTCCACTATGCACCTTGATCCCAACCTGGATCAGTCAACTGTCATGGTTGATCGAGGGCATAGGATTCGCCTGCCCGAAGTAAAACTGCCTACATTCTCTAGTGGATACACCGAATACTCAGATTTCCTCTCCATGTTTATCTCGGTGATAGATAAGGACCCCTACTTGGCTGACATAGAAAAGCTTCAACATTTGCGGTCATGCTTAGCTGGAGCTGCGCTGGAATCGGTTCGATCATTAGAAATATCTGGTGCCAATTATCGTGTGGCACTAGAAATCCTAAATAAACGTTTTAATAATAAACGTCTTGTTTTCCAGGCACACATCAATGAAATTCTTGGGCTCAAGAGGCTCGAGTCTGCGTCTGCTGTGGCATTGCGGGATTTTTCGGACAAAATTATTGGGCATATGCGAGCGCTTCAGGCCTTGGGAGATTTAAAACAAATCTCAGGCTGCATGGTTGTATACATGATAGTGCAAAAATTGGATGCAGCAACCCAAGCCAACTGGGAGGAAAGTTTGTCAACGGATATGATTCCAAGCGAGGAGGATTTGCTCTCGTACCTTGAAGGGCGATGCCAGAAACTGGAGAGCGTTCAGCATGCCTTGGCTTCCAACATGGCCCATGACCATTCAGCTCCAAGGCCTGCCAGAAGGACGTTACTTGGTGCCCAGGTCAGCCAGAGTAGCTGCGTTTTTTGTGATACTCCTGGTCATGGAATATACTCCTGTAGCTCCTTCGCCGGTCTGTCTCCTAGTCTACGGCAAAGGGAAATAAAAAGACTTTCCTTGTGCTTCAATTGCCTAAAGAAGGGGCACCACACTCGAACGTGCAACTCCGGCCATTGCCGCACATGCGGTGGAAAACACCACACGCTGCTCCATCTACGTCCTGATGATTCACCACCCTCGCAGCCATCTGCCTCGCTTGCGGCCCAAGGATTTCATTCTGATGTTGTGCTTTTGGCCACCGCTATAGTTCTTGTAAAGAACAGAGCTGGTTCCCCGGTACCTTGCCGAGTCCTACTGGATTCTGGATCTCAACTACACCTAATTACATCTCGCTTCGCCCAGGAGTTGCAGTTAAGGAAATCTCGGTCAGCAGCAACGGTAACTGGTCTTGGTGATACAGCTGTTTCTTCAGAAGGATCTACAGTCAGCATCTCCCTCCAGTCGCGTTCTTCTGAATACTCTGTGGCTCTAACGGCACTGGTCGTGCCAACGATTACAGACAGTCAGCCTAGTTACATCATTGATATCGCTGATTGGAATATGCCATCTAACATACAGTTGGCTGACCCTGCATTCAACTGTCCCCAGCGCGTTGACCTGCTTCTTGGTGCCGGCCTATTTTATGACCTGTTATGCGTGGGCCAAATTAAGCTGGTTCATGGATTGCCTCTACTGCAGAAGACTCGCCTTGGCTGGATCGTGACTGGTGGTGGAGATAGACTTCGCGGCAATACATCTCTTTTAGCATCTCAAGGCTTGGAAAATGGAGCTACACTACATAATGTCCGCTTGGAGGATCTGGTTAGGCGATTTTGGGAAGTCGAAAATTTGGACAGTGGAGTCATAATGGCCAGCAAGGAAGAGCTGGAGTGTGAGGGTCATTTTATCAAAAACTTCCATCGTCTTCCCTCTGGCGCTTACTCTGTTCGCCTGCCGTTGAAGCACCATGCTAAAGCCCTTGGCGATTCCTACACACAGGCACACCGAAGATTTCTTAATCTTGAACGCAAACTGCAAAGGAATCCCCATTTAAAGCGTCAATATGTGGCCTTTATTAAGGAATACTTGGAGCTAAACCACATGTCCAGAGTCAGCCCCGAGGCTGTGGGTCTTTGCAAGTATTTCCTGCCGCACCATTGTGTTCTAAAGGAAGATAGCACAACAACCAAGCTTCGCGTTGTCTTCGATGGATCGGCGTTAGCCTCATCCGGGTCGTCTCTTAATGATGTCCTTATGGCTGGGCCCGTTATACAGCCAAGGCTGTTTAACATTTTGATAAAATTTCGTACTTATCAGGTGGCCCTGACTGGAGACATTTGCAAGATGTATCGGTGCGTAAGGGTGAGTGAACCCGATAACTACTTGCAATGCATTTTATGGCGAGACGAACCGGACAAAGAGCTCGAAGTTTACAAACTGGATACAGTGACCTACGGAACCAAGCCTGCCTCATTCCTTTCTGTTCGTGCAATGCACCAGCTGGCCATTGATGAGAGGGATTCCTTCCCTGCTGGCTCAGTTGCTCTGCAACAAGATTTCTATGTCGATGATTTCATCTCCGGTGGAAGCTCTGTTGCTGAGGCTATTGAGAAAATGCGACAGACCACTGAGATACTTGCTCGAGGTGACTTCAAGTTACGAAAGTGGTGCACCAGCCACCACGAGGTCTTAAAGGATGTGTCAGATGATGACAAGGAGAAGTATTTGAAGTTCGACGATGGCAGCGATATAACCAAAACTCTTGGTCTTGCATGGGATCCGGCAACAGACGAGCTGCTGTTCTCTTTATCGTCTCTAGATCCCGGCTCCAAGGCCTGCCGACGATCTGTTCTGGCCACCGTTGCTCGTTTCTATGACCCGCTAGGCCTTCTTGGTCCAGTAATCACAAAGGCCAAGGTGTTTCTTCAACAACTCTGCAAGGACAAATTGGATTGGGATGAAAGTTTGCCCTTAGATCGTAACACCTGCTGGATTGAAATGTGCATCAGTTTTCAGAGCGTTCAACGCATATCATTCCCAAGATTTTTGCTTCTTTCAGAAACTGATGTTGAAATTCATGGTTTCTGCGATGCCAGCGAGGAAGCTTACGGAGCTTGCATATATGTGCTGTCTAGGGGCACTTCTCCAGCCAGCAGCCATCTCTTATGTTCCAAATCCCGAGTAGCGCCTCTCAAAACGATATCTGTACCTAAGCTGGAGTTATGTGGCGCCCTGCTACTAGCCAAGCTGATGAATGAAGTTATGAAAATGGATATGTTCAATGGTCCTTTTCACTGCTGGTGTGATTCCTCTGTGGCGCTATCCTGGATCGGTAATGAGCCTTTCAAATTCAACGTCTTCGTGGCAAACCGAGTGGCTTCTATACAGGAATTGACTACTAATATGGAATGGCATCATATTCCGACTACACTGAATCCTGCCGACATTTTGTCCAGGGGGTCTACTCCGGATTTACTGGCGCTTTCTGAGATCTGGTTTCATGGCCCACCATTTTTACTTGGTGGTCGCAAGGATTGGCCTACGCGTCTGCATTATGGCGATCCGAGCCTTGAGTTACGTAAACAGGTGCTGATGGTCAAGTCACCTCACGTTGATGTCACCCTTAGATCCAAGTATGGCAACTCGTTCCCTTCCATGCAGCGCGTGTTCGCATACATTTACAAATTTTCTCACCGCTTGTGGCATCGTGGTCTCGAAATATCTGATGTGCAACGTGGGACATATATGCTCTGGCGAGGCGTCCAATTGGCTCATTTATGGGAGGACATAAAGGAGCTTCGTTCAAATAGCATTGTTAAAAAATCAAGTTCTATTGCTTCGCTCTTGCCCTTCATAGATGCATGTGGCCTTCTTCGAGTTGGTGGACGCCTCGAAAATTCAACACTTGCGTATGAGGCTCGCCATCCCATAATAGTGCCACGTCGTCACCCACTCACCTTAGCGCTCATCATGCACTTCCATAAGATGAACCTGCATGCAGGACCGCGCGCTCTGTTGGCAAGCATCCGACTACAATACTGGCCTATTGGAGGACTGCGAACGGTCTCAAATGTACTGAAAGGCTGTGTGGAGTGCTTCCGGGCCAGGCCCAAATTTCTGGAACCAATCATGGCTAATCTTCCGAAGGAACGTTTGGAGTGCGTACGGGCCTTTGCTGTTTCTGGCGTCGACTATTGTGGACCTTTCCTTTACAAATCAGAAGTTCGCACCAGGTCTCCCATCAAGTGCTACGTATGCGTGTTCATCTGCTTTAC